AAAAAATTTATTTTATATGGGTCATAAATTTTTTTTTAAATATTTAAATTTTTTAATATAAATTTACGTAATCAATTATATCTTATATGATGTTTAAATATATAATTGGACACTACTATTTTTTTTAAAAAAAATAATTGATGTGAAATAAGCATAATTGAAATAAGAGAAATTAAATCATAATTTATCATTGAAATAAAACACTTATATGAAATTTTGGACAAACCCATTTTGGTTAATCTTGTTTATTGTTTATTCCCCATTTTAGGCAGGCTTTAATTGATTGAGAACATGATAATTACACACTTCATTGTGACAGCTAAAAAGGGGAATAAAATTAATTACATCATTTACTAATTAGAGATTGAAAAGATGAACCAAAGCCATTTTAGTTACTATTACATATAATCATTAAATTTCAACAAGCCTAACTTTTTCGACATTAACATCGAAATTATACGTATTTGGTAGTCTTATTTTGTATTGTTAAATATGTTATTAACGATGTTTGTAATTTAGAATTACACGAAAATAGATTGAATCATAGTGAATTAAAATAGATTACCACTATGGTTTTTGATTCCCAATTTGCTTAGCTAAAACAAGTTGTGTGCCACCATGGTAATCTCTCAATCCAACTTAGCATTTTGAAACAAATTAGTGATATCCACACAAATCCCAAATGGGTTTTTGATTCCCAATTATGCAACAAAAAGAAAGAGTTGTTCCCTTGTGCAAAATCCAAATTGGGTCTTGACCCATTATCAATTAATATATTCCATTTGTTGTATTTTAGTTCTTTCAAATTGACATGACTCCCTTATACCAAAATCTTCAAGAACTTATTTGGGTATTTGACATAATACCAATCTTGATTAAGGGACTCTTATGGGTAACCGGATTAGGGAGAGGGAGAGAGAGAGGGGAGGGAGGGAGGGAGGAGGGGCCAAGGGGGGTCCCGAGGCCGATCGACCAAATCCTAATCTCAAGAATTTGTTTGAAAAATTTAGCAAGAATTTTTTGGCCGACAATGTGTTGCTTTTGCTTGTCAAATCTACGCCACTATCAATGGAGATTAAACTGTTTTGGACTTGTGGGTAGTGCGGGCATGTGCTTGCCTCACTACCCTCTCTTTTCTTCTAACCCAATATTGTTAGGCATGGTTCTATTTTGGGAAAATTTTATGATGAGTTAGGTTTGGATTTATTTGTAAATTTGTATTTATTTCAATTTGAGATAACAATAATTGTTTGTTTTTAGGATCAAAAAAGAAATTCACATAGGATTGCATATGAAAAATGAATTATATATTTTACAAATTAATAATAATATATTTTTATAATGCGTATTCTAATCACCCGACTCAGTTATTTATTTATAATGTAAAATCGTAACTCTTGATTTTTATAGTAATTTCGGGTAAATTTATTTATTTTTAAGTGTTATTGACTTTTAATAATATATTTATATTTTTAAAAATAAAATATTTATTGTAAATATAATTTTAATATATTAATTAATTAAATAATATATAAATATTAATTATAGTACAACAAAAAATAAATTTTTTAAATAAGAGCGTATCAGATTACGATCCGTCTCGAATTCGTAGACTTTAATAAAATTTGTTCGTAAAAAGATTATGAGATTCCAATACAATTTTTATATTCTTTTAAAACAAGTTGAAGTATAAATTTATATATAAGTTTTAAAAGATTATATATATATATATATATATATATATATATATATATATTTCCAAATAAACCCTGAAGAACACTGCATCATGTTCTAGGATTCTAGAACTGATTTATCAAAAAATTTAGACAAAAACACAATTCCATTCCATATAATTTGTTACAGTCTGATATCTCATATGTTGGGACTTTAAATATCAATACAGAAATTTGAAGGTAAATACATTAAAATTAGAGAAAAATAATAATAATAAACCTAACCACAATAGACAAAATAGTAATTTGCTTATAAATCTATTGAACTAATATAAAAATATATTGAATTGGGAAGAAATATGCTTCATTCAATCTGACTTAACAAAGAAATACTACTTATACAAAACAAAAAGTTCTGGGTTTGATCCCAAAGTAATATGGAAACTAGATAAATATTCATATTAATTAACAGATATCCATGGCAGAAAAATAGGGTTAAGAAGAAGGATAGAGGTAGGGAAAATATGAACTAGAATATAATAAGATCATTAACAACACAATAATAAATCAAAACCCCTTTTCTGTATATAGATTATAGATTGTAGCCTGTAGGGTATTTTCACTTGGTACAGTAACCAGCCTGGAAAACAAGAGAGGAGATAATTGATAACCTTTTGCTTTTTGCTAGAATTTCTGGATAACAACTGAATTGGCAAGCCCAGCCTGATCTATGGTTTGAGCTGGATCGGTAAGAAGTTTAGGAGGAAATCCCATCACCTGCAGTTGATAATTCCTCATGTTCCCAGGTCTAGATGCATCAATGAAAGCACGAATATCGTTGACAGTATGGTGGTGATTGAAGTTCGCGATCATGCGAGTCCCGTCAGCTAACCTGAGCTGAATAGAGGTTGACGGTAATGTTTCATCCACAACAAGGCCCATAGAAGGGGTTGGAGCAGTGGTGGCTGAAGAGGAAGCTGCAGTCAGTTCAGGAGTTGCTGTGGCACTACTACTGCTACCAAGGGTTCTTCCCACACCTTGAAATGGAACCTGGCGTTTCTCTGGTTCCTGCAAAGGCAAGAATGTGACCTCAAAACATAGGCCCCAAATAGAATTGACTAGATTATTCCCAAAACTTATCTAGTATGAACCTGGATAAAACTGGAAGATAATTTTGATGCGTTGATAGGGTGGCAAAACATATAGATTGTGTCTAAACAGTTTGTCTCGTACATAACATAAAAGGCTAATACCTCTAATCCATACATTTTTTTTTTTAAATAAACCTCTAATCCACACATAACCCGTTTAATATACAAGTCAATCTGTTGAGATCCACTTTCACTTGCTCTGTTTATCCTAAGAGATCAAATGAATTAACAAAAGTGAAATCTGAATTGATCCGTTTAACCTGTATATTAATTTTAAATTGCATAATATCATAATATACATATATGCTCTAGACACATCTTATACAAGTGTATATCAAATAGGTTAAATACTAAAAATGGATCACAGTCAAAGGAGCAATCTGTTCGACTTGTTTCACAAGTCAAACAAGTTCAAAAGGTCCAAACGAGAAGTGAGTTCAAACAGCTTATACTCAATATTCAACAGATGTAAACTGGTTTGACTCAATAAAGATACATTCTTGTTTAGACACTAAATCCAAATCCATTTAACTTTGTCCCCAAATAATTGGTGCAAATGAACTGTGTTAAATTTTGTCAACACCAAGGTTGGAGCAACTATGTGCATTCATGTGGGAGGATGTTTACGAGTGACAGTTATATATATATATATATATATATATATGGAGAGAGAGAGAGAGAGAGAGAGAGAGAGAGAGAGAGAGAGAGAAACTAACAGGGCATTGTTGGGGGGGGGGGGAGCGGATTGACACGGACAGAAGCCCTTCTATCTGCAGGCTCAAGCTCTTTTGGGCATTCTGACTTTTTGATGCTCTGCATCAAGATTTATTAAATTCATTAGCAAAACAGCACACCAAAATCCCACACTAAACTGTTGCCATGGCTACGTATTATCGAACAAAAGTAGTAAAAAGGAAAATGAAAGGAAAAATTCTGTCAGCAACCTAAGCATATTACAACAGGGAAGGAGATTCTAGCTTTTAAGTTCTAACATACCATACACCTTATCTTTCCTTAAGCGCACTTTATCCCTTCAAATATAAAATGATTTACCTCGAGGAAAGATGCATTCTCAGGGTCATCCAACCTCCTTAGAGGACCATCATTTACAGTGAAACCATTGGTCCAGAAAACAATATTGTGAGTAACGGGCTCAGGCTGCTGAGGAGCAGATGGTACAGGCTCTCCAGAGAGTAATCTACCAGTTCCAGTGAAGCTTCTTGAGCTTGAAGGACGAAACTGCTCGGTAGGCCCTTCTACAGCTCCTAGCTCTCTAGCTTGATTGAATATTGCATCCACATCATTATCCTTTGAAGGATCTTGGACAACCATACCACTGCAACATAAGTAATGACGGATGTTAGTCAATCATGGGAATTCCATAACATGATTTCAAACTGAACTTCCAGGGAGATGGTACCCGCTTTGAATCAAGCTCATAGGAATTTTGAAGATTAAGGAAGATAACTTCATAAGCATGAATTATCATGGAAGGCTTCAATTCAATTAACTTGACCAATAATACACATATTATTTCTTTTACACAATATTTGAAAAATTATTTCTTTTATGAAAAAAAAAATGTTCAATTCAAATTATTATTTTTTTATTTATAGAAAAAAAAAGCATCACAGAAATAGGAAGATAATTACAGGAACAGAGGAAAAGATAACCTCGAAGAAGGGGAAAAGAAAAAGAAACATAAAAGAAGAAGAGCCAGCACAACCCAATGAAGAATAGCCGGCAACTCTCTGTGCACATAGCACACCCCATGGACTAGGCCCAATGCATAAATAGTGACTATCAATTATTACTCGCCAGTTAATCAACACAAAACATGGTTAATAAAGTAGAGCCATACTTAGTATTTGATTTCCCAAATTTTTATCAGAGAAACTTCAGCAGTGTCTACCATCAACAATTGCATTACAAGGATTTGTCAGTGGAGCTTTTTTCTTCATGATTGTACCTGCAATTTTCTTTAACATGGTGTGCTGACAAAAGGTAGTAAGCATTTTTTACTAACCCATATTTAATTATATATTTGTAATTATACAAAAATATTATTCAAATACTCTTCTGAACAAATATTTATTTTTATATATACGTGTATGATGGACCTTTCTTCAGCACACTTCTAAGAACACCCTTACTATAGAATCCTTAGCTTACGCCTCTCAAACCATTCTTGATGTCAAGCACTATCCCATCCACTCGAAATTTATCCAAGAAATTGCTTTTGCGATGGTAGTTAGCGATCACATAAAAAAACTTAGTGTTATAATTCACTTCCTTGATCCACAAAAGTCTAGAATGTTCTCTCCAGACAATCTCTTCCAGAAGATCCCCTGAGACAAGTCCAACTTGGCCAGTTACCTTCTCTCCTTTTTGTCTCATGAAGGCCCGAGGTAGAATCTTTCCTGTCTAGATCCTTGATTTCTTGGGTTAATTTATTCTGCCAGTCTATCTCCTTACCATTGGCCTCCACACTCCAAGCCTTCAACTTCTCTATGACAACTGCAAGCTTTCTGGCAATTCTAAAGCTTGTGAAGCCTACAAAG